ATTTGTGTCCGTGCAATGTTTTCCACAGCGGCAGAGGGCCGCGATGCCCTAATCAATCGCCAGGTCCCGGAGGAACTACATCCTACCGGCATGCCGGAGCCGAGGGGCTCTGGTAGAGCCACTGGAACCTGCTGGAACCAGGCAGTTCCGCCTGGGTCTGAAATTGGGGCACCGGGTTGTATCCCGGTTGGTACCGCGCGGTACCAGTGGCTCTGTAGAACCACTGGAACCAGCCGGCTCCGCTTGAATCTGAAATTGGGTCTCCAGTTTGTATCCCGTTTGGAACATGCGCGGTTCCAGACGGGATACAAACTGGTGCCCCTATTTCAGATCCAGGCGAAACCTGCAATTTTCATTCCGGCCTGTATCTGACATTTTCATGCGGGTATCCACTGCATTCATTTTGATCCCAGCTCGGTTTTTACTCTTTTTGTGAATAACGAATACAAACATGGGAGTTTCAATTACTGACATATGGCTCCATATAAAAAGCATAGCGGGAAAAATAACTGAAGAAAAATATCCAAGGGCTGAAAGTGCCATGGCTTTATTTACTGCACAATGTGCGTTGTTTTAACATGTGGTCCCACCTGTCTCTCGGCCAACTCGCTCCGAGGTTCCACGTCTTGAGCAGGAGCCATCACGGGAGCACTGGAAAAAGAAGAGTGGGTACATTGCAAGCAAGACCTTTTCTCAAGAAAATGAGTTGGGTGGACAGCAGTGAAATGTCCTCCAGCAATGGGAGGATGCACACCATTGCTGTTTTGATCTTTACTCTGCCTGCAACAGAGTTAACATCACCAGACACGAAAGGACGCACACGGGCAAAAGGATATACTAAAGATGCGATTCAAACTAGCCAAAGCCTGGAAGTACCAGACCAAAGCTCATAGGGGCCTGCATTTTGACTCCCACCGCGCAGCGTACTGGCGTGTCAACCGCCGCAAAGGGTCCACTCGTTCGCTGCAGGCGCGACCCTCACAGAAGGGTCGAACGTACCACAAGGAGTGCCGGGTGATAAAGGGGAATTTAATTTAAAGGGGCATTTAATACGATAAAAATAATCACGCACCCGCCTGCGACACATTCGGTACCAGTGAGGAGAAACGCCCGCTTCGGGGGCCACCAAGCGAGTCCCTTTATGGTGGCTAGCCACCGTAGTCCCTCCTTTCCGGCAGAAGCCCCTCTCCGCTTGGTTCATGCCTCCCTACCCTTCACCTCAGTGTCTCCGGGAGTAAGCCCAATGGGTCCCTTCTGGAAGGGTGCGACGAAAGTGCAGCATGAAAAGGTGAGCCCTGGTGTTAGTTTGAACGTTTTCAACTAAACACATTTTCTGAAAGAGCACAAAGAACAGCATAGAGCGGCAAGTAAATGTTCCCCCAAATTTTTAAATAATTTTTAATCACAGAAATGCAATGTAACTGAAACCGAAACGAACCTTCAACTTCACTGGTTTGTCTTCTTGTTGTGACGTTAGATGTTGTATAAACGTCAGCACATGTGTAGCTTGAGGCTGTTTCGCCCAGCGCCGGAAGCAGTCAGAAGGCCGTCGCGATCATCTGTGGGAAATAATTAGGGTGTATACTTTCCAGTGTTTATTTATGACAAAAATCGGCGGATGTTTATCGGTGCTTATTTATTTCACCGATACCGGTGCTTTTCGGTGAACTTTCGTCCGGACGCTAAAAACATTTATTATCGGGAGAAAAATTGCAAATGTAAACTACTACTGCAGACGAAAATCACTCCAAATTTTATTTACATATATTACACAATCTCTTTCACACTCGATTATTGTAGTATATGCAAGCACACATTCCTAGGCTCGTGTCTGTCAATGATGCTCGCTCCTTCCTGTTGACGACGCACAATTTCGAGAATGCCCGCTCAACATTTGCACTAGACACGGGAAGCCTTAAAGCGTCCAACGATGCTTGGGACAGTACTGGCCAGCTGTGACTGGCCTTTCGGGTCGCTTGGCGGCCCAGGAGGACCACTGACCTTGGAGAACAGTGGAACAAAGCTACTGTCCTCCAAGAGTCCAAGACCATGTAGGTCACAAAAGAAGAACAGGCAAAGTGCATGATTCCTGGTCAGACAATGCGTTTCGCAAAAGTTTGCATATGACTTTTTCAGTGAAAAAACACAATTCTTTTAAAACAGTTTAGTCGGGACACGCGTGTGTCAAAAACAAATAGTGCGAAAAAAATTTTAGAGTATTATTGACGGCACGAGACGCGATTTAGTCGGTAGTCAGATCCTTTCCACTTGTTTTTCTTTCAAATTTCCAGGTGTGTGGAGGAGAGGTGGATCGGCTTTGCCTCCACGTGAAGCTGGAAAGAGCAAACGACCATCTCATTGAGGTCAAAAGAGCGAATGACCATTCCGTGACATTGTGGACTTTCAAATAATTATCTAACCAACTATATTGGTCAAAAAAAAGTTTTTTTTCACATAAAATTATTTTTTTACACGCGTGTCCCAATCAGACTGTTTAAAACGAACTTTTTCTTTTCAGGTGCCCTTTGTCTTGAAGGTATGGGAAAGTCTGCATCTGGCGGCCATGAAAGTCTGCATCTGGCGGCCATGCTGCCATTCCGTTTTTGACGTGTGGTTGTGTGTCATGTTTGCATCGTGTTTACTTTCCGGATTTCTCCGCTAAATTTAGTGGGAAAATTTTCCGCTGAATTCAGCTAGTTAAATTTCCCCACTAAATGTAGCAGGAAAATTGACGTCACGTTACCTTAACATAAATTCAGTTTTTCCACTAAATTTTCCTGTTAAATTTGCCGGAAAAATGTTCGCTAAATTTAGCAAGAAAATTTAGCAAAAATTTGCCGCTAAATTGGAGGGCAGCAGGCGAGGAGGAGGAGAGGGTACAGAGGGGCATACCCTCCCATTTTCATCCTCTAGAGCTGTGCTCTAATTCGGCATTACAGAGAACTGTAACTGTTTTTAATTTTTTTATAATTAACCATAGGGTTATGTACAAAATAACATATTTTAATAAGCTATGCACATTAAGACCACATTTCTAAAAAGAACACAGAAAACAATGCAAGCAACAAGACCACTTTTTAGGACAGAGAAAAACAAAGCAGAACCGAAAGATCCTGGAAACTATATCTCTCCCTGACCATTTCAATCTGGATCAGCATCATATACTGGCGGGCGGTTCTGTCTGCCCTCTCCGTTTGGCATGCACACAGAAGTCGAGCTTGACTGCTTCGCACCGTCATGTTAAGAGTAGCAGGCAATGCAGGGAAGCATATGATTAACTCAGAGTCAAAAATTGTTTTTTATATCTCATCTTGAAAGTATGATTATTGACCAACCCTATTTTTAAGAACTTAAAAAAAAACACGAAGATGTCAACCCACTTTTAAATAAAAATGCTAGGGGTAAAAGTCCATGTGAAATACATAGCTATGCAAGTAGCATCCTGTCCAGTCTATACGCCCTCAAAAAAGTTACTGGTTTGTTACGTTTTTCCTATCTTCACCACATTCCTAAAAAAACCCGCTGGGTTTAAGGCAAAGCTCTTTCCTACAGAATTCAAGTTGTCAGCTTAAAATGCTGGCCGAGGTTCCCGCAATCTGTAGGCGGCTTACTACGAAGATGGCACATATTTTCTAATGATTTCAGCTACACACCCAAAACATCACCAGGTGGTTAGAATTATTTCTCAGTCCTGCTGCGGCATACCAGATGCCTTCTGATAGTGTAGCAAGAAAACACCCAACATTTATTTTGCCCAGTGCAAAATTATTATCACAAAGCTTAAAATGTAGAAGACATGTATTGATGGCTATTCTTTGTACTTCAATTAGGTGAAAGACCAACCACAAGTTTAACAATAATATATACTAGGTATTGCAGCTATGAACAATTCAGTACCTTCTTGAATATCCCATTTGTACAAGAGTAGAAAAAACAGGAATTCAAACTCACACAGGTCACTCATTTGACCAAACAACCCAGTTCTTGTTTGTAAGAGCCAAACTACAAATTTGTAGCAATGCACCTTTTTTTGCTGGATTCCCAAGAGTGTAACGTCTCTAGGTTGAAACGGCACTTTCATGTCTATATTGTCTCCTTTACAGGAATCGCCATCATTATAGTTGTAAGCCAGGCTAAGAATGTAATAAAAAACATTAAAATATATTCTGGGTGTTTCAACGAAGACTGACAAAAATTCCAACAATTAGCTTATTCTAAGTAAAACGGTAATTTTCTCGGGACTGCATTACTCCTAGTGGCAGACGTCCGAAAATGTGTGATACTTACTAATCAGTTAGCTAAGATATTAAACATGACTCGTTATCTTCTTAATTAGTGAAAATATACAAATGTTTCCAATTAGAAACTTCCTGAGCATCATCAAAAACTACTAAATTAGTAATTTTCAGAAAGACAGTGCGTGAGAAGCGTAGTAGTGCACTGAAGTTACCACTCATGAAGCAGGTACAAGGCTAGTGGTTGCGGTAAGATGCCCCGCGATTTTCCGTCTCTTATGAGAGCCCCTGCCTCGTACCTGCTCTACGAGCGGCAGCTTTAGCGCATTACTGCGCTTTTCACACGCTCAGTCTTTCTGAAAATTATTGAATAAGTGGTTTTTGACGATGCTCAGCAAGTTTCTAATTGAAACCATATGTCTATCTTCACTAATTAAAAAGGTAATTAGTAATGTGTATTTAATTAGTGAATTAATGAGTAAGTATCGCACATTTTCTGATATCCGCCACTACGAGTAATACGGTCCCGAGAAAATGATCCTTTTACCAATAATAAACTAATTTTAGGACTTTTTGTCATTCTTCGCTGAAACACCCGGTATAAAATTGAAGACAACTCATCAAAGCATGCAAGCATGACTCACCAGTGTAGTGTTAGCAGATGACTTGCTTCTATCGGGAGGATACGCCAGCAATCATAAACACCAGGGCATGGGTGGCAGGCGGTGACTCGGGTTGTGAATCTTGAGGCACAGGCACTGTTGTCCGACCTGGTACGCAACTGGTGCTTGGGTGGGTGCCAGATGGTGGCTTGAAGAATGGCGCTCCAGGCCCGGACACTGTTCTGAGACTGGGCTGGCTGGCAAGTGGTGACCGTGAGGGTAATGCTCCAGGCACGGACATTGTGACATAACCCCGAATGCAGCTGGTAATGGGGTCGTACTCAAACTTCTTAACAAGGGTCATCTCATCATGCAAGACAGCACACTGGCACTCCTGAGGCGTCAGGTGCTCCAGTTTTGTTTCCAGACACTTGAATACTTCCTCCAACACCACAGGCTCGAAACGGATGCCTGGAATATAAGAAATTTGCAGCTTAAAAATATTACCGGCACCCATGCCAAAATCCTGGGGTCATAAACTAGGGTTCCCCTGGCATGCACATTTCATCAATCCACAATGTTCACCAGAAATGCTAATCATAACCCAATTGCTAAAGAATAATCTTTTTTGGTAACCATAAATGGAGCGGAATCTTTATAATGACTCGACAAATAACCAAAGCAAGAACTAAAAAAAAAACTAAAACAAAAACAAGTTACTGATGCATTATCGCAGTGTATAAACCTTTCCAGGCGGCAGTCTCGAACGAAGCGATTTACAGCGAACGTCCTTGGCTTTGGATATGCGGCTAACCCCTTAGTAACGGAAGATCCCAGCGTACTGGATCTAGCCAAAATTATCTGTTATTTTCTTCTTGGTTTGTCTTCCACCAGTGGTCCAATCTTCTTTTTGCCCATTCCACCACCGGTGTGGGCCGCGGGCCCCTGCCCACAGTGCTGTCGGCGCCGTTGTTGCCCTCCTCGTCGATCTCCCGGAAGCCCAACGCCACCGCCATGTCTCCGCCGCACGGCACCTTCGGCTGCAGGCCCGCGCACTCCAGGATGACGTACTGCAGCGTTTCTTCAGCCCCCTGTGTGCACAGGGTGCATCGCACGTCGGTGTATGTGTACTTGGCTCGAAGCACTCGCGTTCGCAGCATGCCTCCCAGGGCGTCGAACAGAAGTTCACTGCCCCTGCCGTTGTCCATGAATTCTACCTTCCTCACCTCCTGTTTTTCCCTGGCGTACAGGGCAAGTGCCGGCTTCTGTCCTGCCTTCTCCGCCCACCGTTGAGTCTCGGTCTCGGTGACTCTCGTGCGGATGTTTTCCAGTTGTTGCTCTGGAGTCGGGTAGAGGGGAGGGCTGTTTATCCGATACCGGAGGGCCAGCTGGCATGTCCGTCGCACCCACCTAGTCGAGAGGCTCTTGAGGTGGATGTACTTAAAAGCCTGTCTTGCCCACCGCCCTTCCTGCATTTGGCACAGGCGTCGTTCGAAGCCCAGCTCGGCCCGGGCCTCTCTGGCATCGAAGCTGGACCACCCCATGTCCCCCGCACTGCCTCGTCAGGTGTTCCTCGGCTGGCTCCCAGTGCCGCCCGTCCCACTTCTCTCTGACGCACCTCTAGGCACTCACGCGTGCGGGACGACAGACACACGACTCCGTTTCCAGAAGTGAGGCCCGGCACTGCCACCATCTTCCACACCGCCCGGGAGATCTCGAAGAGGTTGTAACCCCAGAGGGCTCTGGCAGTCGATATCCCCTTGGACCTCCTGCTCTTAGTCTGGAGCCTGGTCTCATGGTCTTCGAGGTAGTTGTGACCCTCCTGGATGTGGATTCCCAGGTACTTGTATTGTGATACCCACGGTACTTGTTCCCCCTGGATTTTCAGGTCATCTGCCTCGGTGTCTCCACTGTCCCCGAAACCCATCAATGCCGACTTCTTAGCACTGAAACTCAGTCCCAGTGCCGTCCCCATTGTGTTGCACTCATTCATAAGGGCCTGCAGGCCCTCCAGAGAGTCTGCCATCAGGACGATATCGTCGGCATAGATTAGCCCAGGGATTTTTCCTCCCCCACTGGTTCCCGTCTCCGTATATTCCAGGGTGAAGCCCTCGGCGCAGTCCTGCAGTCTCTTTTGGAAGCCTGCTATGTAGAGTGTAAACAGCAGTGGCGACAGTGGGCATCTCTGTCTCAGACCCTTGGTGATGGCTACTGGATGAGTCATCTCTTGTTGTTGATCCACTCCCCTCCAATCCACTCCCCTCCGAGCCCCCGCTTTGCTAGCTGCCTCCACAGCTTCTCATGGTCGACCGAGTCGTAGGCCCGGCTGATGTCGAGGAAACAGAGGTAAAGTGGACGCCTCTCTCTCTGGGCGATCTCTATGGCCTGCGTCAGCACGAATAAATTGTCCTCAAGGCGTCTACCCCACCGGAAACCGTTCTGTAGCTCCACCAGGACTCCTTCTGCCCCTGCCAATGTCTGCAGTCGGTCTCGTATTATCTGTGTGAACACGCGGTAGAATACCGATGTGATGGCTATGGGACGGTAGTTACCGAGCGTTGACTTTTGCCCTTTTCCCTTGTAGATGAGTCGGAGTCTTGAGGTTCGCCACTCCATCCCTTCTTCAGGATCTGGTTGAGGATCTCGCGCAGGAGTGCTCTCGTCTCTAGCCCCAGCTCCTTCACCAGCCTCATTGGGATTCCGTCCATGCCAGTGGCTGTGGTTCCTCACATTCTCTTGACTGCTCTCTTTAACTCCCTCTCCGTGATTTCCTCCCTGCTCAGTTGCTCCTGTAGTTCGTCCTCCGTCTCCCCCTCCTCACTGTCCATTTGTCGGCTGTCGCGTGTGAACATGTCCCCAATCCACCTCTCAACGTACCGGTTGGTCTCTCCAGGATCCAGCTCCTTTCCCGTCGCATCGTCTTTGATTACAGCATCCTCCCTGGGTTGGCCTGTTTGGCCCTGTACATGTCGCCAGAACTTCAGTGGGGCCTCACGTCCTGCCTCTCTAAGTTCTTCCAGGAATCTCTTATCTACCTTGGCCATTTTGCTTTGGATCAAAGCTGTCACCTGTATTTTCCTGCTCTGATACTCCCTCCACTCTCTTGAATCTTTCTGTGTGGGGGGCTTTTGTCTCCTCCTTTGGTTTTCTGAACATCCCACGCAGAATTCTGTTTGCCAGTTGCCTTCTTGTAATGGCCTCCCTCACCTCCACATCCCACCATCGTTTTCTCCTCCTCTTCCTTCGTGTCGGTCGTTTTAGTCTTTCCAAGTGGTCCTTCCACCACCGCATGAGGTTCCCGTACGTCTCCACCTGCCTGGTTTCCACCTCTTCCGCCAGTTTTTGTGCAATGGTTTGTGCTTCTGCTTGTGTTATGTGCTGTGGTTTCATAGGTTCGCTGACTCTCTTTTCCATTGGCTTTCCTCCGAAAGTGATCAGCAATCTGCTGTGATCACTTCCCAAGCTCTTGTCGTCTTCCTCGTCTATCTCCATGTAGTTCAGTTTTTCATACAGGTCCGGGAACACCAGGCAATAATCAATTGTAGAGCTCATCCCTCTGGCCGTCCATGTCGTCTTCCCTATGCATTTATCTTGTGTGTTGACGATTACCAGGTCCAGGTGTTCCGCCATGTCCTGCTGCAGCTTTCCATTACCGTCTGTTCTCCCATCGAACTCCTCTAGGTGTGCATTGAAGTCGCCTACCATAATGGTAGGTCTCCCAATGTTGTGATAGTCTTTCTCAATGCAGTTGATTAGCTCGATGTTGGTCTCCCTGCTGTCTGCCACCTTTCTCCCCGCCGGTATCCCCGTCAACCACATGTGCTCTCTGCACTCTGGACTTTCTCTCTGCTAGCCTGGCCCACTAAAGCATCCTACCCCCCCCCCCCCTCCCCTTCTCTCACTGCCCTCTCTGTTTACCCCATCTTAAAGAAAGCCCTTCGCAATCAGGGGGTCTTTCTTCCTCCCTGAGGTGGGTTTCTGTGACTGCGAAAATTCCAATTTTATTATCTTGTAACATCTGAAAGGCCTCTTCCCATTTTCCTGCTTTTCTTCCTCCCTGCAGGTTTAGAAAGGGAATCTTCACTTCGCTCTTTTTCTTTTTTGCTCGTCTGTTTTTCCTTGTTTCCTTGTCTGGTGCCTTTTTGTGTTTTCCGCCTCTCGTGTTGTTGCAGGCACCTTATCTCTTACTTTCTCTTCTTAGTGGGCATGTCCCTGTGGGGGACACATCCTCTGGAGTTGTTCCTCGAGTCGCTGTGATCTCTGGTCCAGAGTCAGCCTGCCTTCCATTCTTTCCCGTCACCTTTTCATCGGTGTCACGCTTTTCCCCTTCCATTTCAGTCCTAAAAAACTCTTTAGTCTGTTACCCAGTGCATGTCCCTCTTCAATTGCCGCATCTCTATTGTAGCAGCCATCTTCCATGTCGTTTCCCGTTCCTGTGTTCTTTACCACCTCCACCCTCGGTCCCAGCTGCTGGCTGATCTCTCTTGATAGCCTGTTCCACTTGGCGCACCTCTCTCTAAGTGGGTCCCCCTTGTCTTTGATTTCTGGGACTTCATACACCATAAAAGAGTGTTTCGGGGCTCTCGTGGTCCAGTCCTCAAGCCGTTTCCTTAGCTCCGCTGCCATTTCTCCCACTGCCTCTTCGCCTTGCACGTCTGTCACTCCCGCATGTATGACCACCATCCCTGCCCTCTGCGTTCCATATTTTCCCATCCCTCTCTGCTCTCCAGTGACTCTCTCAGTTGTGCTCCCGGCTTAGTCGCAAAGTGAACTTTCTTGTCGTAATCTACCATCTTCAGTGTGGCTCTCTTTATCTTGAAGGCATTAGTGTCCCCTACCACTAAGACTCTCTTGTCCACCATCTTCTCTTCGTCCTGTTTCTTTGTCCCGTCATCTGGGTCTGTCCTCTGCCTCATGAGGGCCTCCTTGTAGTTCCTGTGCTGGCCTCTTCGTGTTTGGCCTCTAGTCGTCTGTCCCTCCTGCTCCGTATCCGGGTCTCCACTTCCCGTCCGTTCTTGGGAAAGCTATCTGTCTCGTTCCCGTCTGTGTGGTATGCCTTCTTTCCTTTGACCCCGTTTCCCGGTTCCAGCTGTTGCGGTGCGTTTTCCCCCGCTGATCGTCATTTGCGCTGGTTTACATGACTTCATCCAGTCATTAAACACCTCCCCTAATTTTTCTCTCTCGTTTCTTTCCTCCTGCATTATTGCTTTCAGTTTTTATTCCGCCGCTATTCTCAAGGTCCTCTCTTCTTAGAGCTTCGCCAACATCCTACTTTCTATGGCCGCTCTCTCTGTCTTTGCCTCCTCCAGCTTCACTCACATTGCCTCTCTCAAGGCATTAACTTGCCGTTCGATCTCCTCCTCCAAAATGCTTCTATTTTCCTTGCACTCCATACATTTGTACGTACTGTTCTCTGCCTTCCTGCATGATTCGAACGGTGTCTCGCTGATATCCACCCATTTCTCACAGTC